TCTGCCACCCGGGGCCGGGACTGGGGGTCTGGGCGGGGGGGGTGGGTCGTTCATGGGGGGAGAGTCCCGGGCCCAGTTTCCATTAGCCGCGGCTCCCAGAGTGTTACTAGGGGAGCAGGAGGACGCCCCTCCTCTCTACTCGCTTATTGTCGGGAAAAAGCACCCAAAACAAACTTTACGGGAGAAGTCTCCACGGCAGCTTTCCCTGCATCCTTGCCAAGGGCTTGCCCCACGTTTACGGGGTCCTTCTTGGAGCAGAGCCTTACCCCTCAGCTGGCCAGGCTGCTCCCGGGCCCGTGCTGGCGCGCTGACCCGACCCTCCCTGCCTCCACCTCCATCCTGTTTGCTGGGCCCCTGGGGCCTGAGGTGGGGGTGGGGTGGGCCGAAGGGGAAGCAGCTTCTTCCTTCTCTTCCTGCCTCCGGGGACCACCACACCCCCTCACTGGAGGCCTGAGCGAGTGGCTCCGACCCAAGCTCTGCCCCCTCCCCAGGAATGGGGGTGGGGCAGGGCCGGGCCAAGTGACGTGCGTGGGGGAAGCGACTGTTCTGGCCTCATTTCCCCCCCTCTACCCCGTCCCCCACGCTATTTAGCTGGCGGGTAATTGAGGCCGGAACACGCGGAGCAATGGGGCTTGATCTCCATTCGACTTCTGGATTTTGAAGGTGCATTCCTTCTGGAGGCCTTTGCTGTGGCCGAGGGTTCAATCCCGGTCAAGAGCATGCACCTCGGATGCAGGCTGTTGGGGCCCCACCCTGGTTGGGAGGCAACCAATTGGTGTGTCTCTCCCATGTCATGTTTCTCTCTGTCTCTCTGCCTCCCTTCCATTCCCTCTAGAAATCAATGGAAAAAATATTCTTGGGTGAGGGGGGCAAGGTGGACTTGCCAGAGCAGACCAAAGGCCTGCCTCTCTTCTTGCCAGAGCAGAAGCCGGCCTCTCAAACTCCAAGGCTGGCAAGATGGGCGGCAGCCCTGGCCTGGTGGCACTAACTAAGATGGAGGAGGTGGGGGTGCAGGTAGACCTGGAGAGGGAGGTATAACAGTCCTCCCAGGAGCCAGGACAGCAGGTCTGACACGTGGACAGACATGGTCCGTCCCTGCACGCCCAGATCCATCCATGTTATTGTAATGCAGGCTGCTGACAGCCACCCCCTCCTCCCTCTTCTCTAACCACAAAGGCACTGAAACCGGGATGGAAGCGCTGAAGGGAGTCAGGACGGGTGGGAATGTAGGGGTCCCAGGCTGCTCACATGCATCAGGGACCAGGTTCTTCCCCCCAACACTGTAGACTAGAACAGCCTCCTCCTCATGTCCCTAAATAAAGGGGTGGTGAATAGAGCAGTTCACCTTGATTATCAAGCACTTAGGGGGAGTTTGGGGAGCGTGTGTGAACGCAATCAGGGTCCTTGGGAGGCAAAGGTTTGAAATTGAGAGCAGAAGATACATCCCTGGAGAGATGGAAGTCTGGGAGACCACCCCCACCCCTACCCAAGGCGCTGTGTTTGGGTTAGGGGATCAGGGAATGAGCACCAGAAGGCAGACACAGCTTACAAGGGCACCACGGGAAGGAACCCAGGAGCTAAGGGCGCCCGGCCCCGCTGGGGGGTAGGAGTGGTGAGTCTGGGGCCAGCCAACCCATTACCTGGAGTCAAACTTCTTGCCATCCTCAAAAGTGCCGTTGTAGTGGTAGCGCACGAAATCCCCCCTCTGCACCTCGCGGGGACAGGCCCTGGGGATGTGGTACCTCTCGATGACCACGTCGTCCAGGGGCCCCCCGGCCGGGCTGGCGCGGCCCAGCCCCCTCCCCACGGCCTGCACCAGCAGCAGCAACATCTGCAGCAGCGGGGCTCGCAGGAGGGTGGGGGTGCGGGACCCCGCGCCACGGAACATGGTGCCTGGAGCTGGGATCGCCGGCAGTGAGGGCGAACAAGAGAGGAGCCGCCACCGACCTCCGCTCCCGAGT